CAATCTGGGGCTTTTTGTTTTGTCCTCTTAGAGAGGACACGGTTCCCTGTTTGCTGATGTTTCTTGTGGATATGTGAGGTCTGTCCGGAAAGTATACAGCCATTGTTATTAATAATATAATGAGGATGGTTTACGTGACATCAATGTAACCTGACGGCCATGGAGAGTGGACTGTAATGCGCATGCGTGAACAGTGACGACGCTGTACTATTAGTGGGGCGCTTGGTGGCCATTGACTGAGCATGTGCGGTGTGTGGCCCTCACATTCAAAATGACTGAGCAAGTAGAGCAACTAATCTACGTCCAATTGTGTGTTAAGCTTGAACATTCCTTCCACAGACACCATTCGGATGCTTCAGAAGGCTTTCGGGGATGATGCAATGAGTGCAGCACAAATAAAAGTGTGGCACGAAAGCTTCAAAGATGGTCGAGAATCTGTAGAAAATGATCTATGTTCTGGAAGGGCTGCAACAAGCAGAACACCTGAGAATGTTGAACGTGTACGGGTTAGGTTAAGAGATGCTGGGAGAACTGCATGAGGTCCCAAGGTGCCTACTTTGAAGGGGACTGAGGCATCACTGTCCTATGTACAGTGTTTCTTGTATCTTGTATCTTCTTCAATGAATGTCTCTATTTTTCGTATTACATGATGGATACTTCTCGGACAGACCTCATATAGTAGGGAAGATTTGTAATAGGGGAAATTCTAGTTAGCCAAAAGATTGGGTAATTTACTGTGATAGAGAAATCCAAATAACATAGAAATGTAACGATTTTCATCTATTGTTTCAGACATATATATGACCACTTCACGAACCTCTACCCTCAGTTGATCAAGAAACCTTCCATCGTGGATAAAGTTCAGAATTTTATGGAGTACGTATAGTAACTTTCCTCTTCTCATTGTTATTGATGCTGCGAGGCTTGAATCTGTCATTTCAAACAGCAATTTTTTCTTTGCCAATGTCTTTTCCTATCTCTTTAGCAGGACTCTAGAGTTGTTCTTCTAGTAGGGTTTAGCATTTTGGGGTAATGGCATGGAAACTGGTTGCAGACAACATGTCCTCTAATTTAGGCTCTTTCAAAGGTCAGGTTGAAGATCATATTTTCAATTGCTAACACAGCTAAAGGAAACACCATCAGTGCAAAAGCAGGCAAAGTTAAATCCCTGGATCCCTTCCACATGGAGACCCCTCTCCTTCTTGCAAGGATCACTTATTCTTCCTCTTTAAGGTGTGTTCTTTTCATGGGCCTGGTGACTAATCCTAGCTGGGGTGTTAGCTAATATCTAAAGTCATAATTCTTAACACCCTCTGAGAATATTTCCATTTAAATAAAGTTTTCTGAAGACTAAAATTTTATATGTGTTTAAATTTGGAGACAGAAAGGTTTGGCTCTTCAAATCACATGCTAAGCAACCTCTTCATGAAATGCTGAAAGTCCTACAGAGCATCACTTACAAGCCACCGGCTGGATGTCATGAAGCAATCACACTATATAATACTATTCTATGACTGATCTAGAGATAGCCCAAACAAATCAAAAATAGCCCTCAGTATACAAAGTTAGATTAAATCATTAAATCATCATACAAAGTGCAGAGAACAGAAAGAAGATAGAATAAAAGGACAATAAAAGAAATAAGACTTTTTTGCTAAGCATGGTGGGACAGAGGCATTGAGGCAGTTATTTCTTTTTAATTTGATGGCACCCCAGATGGGACACGAACCCACAATCCCTGGCTTAGGGTGCCAATGCCTTATGCATTAAGCTATTGGGGCGAGGCAATTATTAATAACCACTGAAACAAAATGAACCGTAAGCTATGAAAATGACCTGAGAGAAATATAAACAATTATAAATCATCTTTTCCTTAGGAGTTTTTTTGTTTTTGTTTTGTTTTAGAGACGGAGGTCTCACTCGTGCTCAGGCTGGTCTTGAACTCCTGAGCTCACACGATCCTCCCTCCTCGGCCTCCCACAGCACTAGAGTTACAGGTGTGAGCCACCACGCCTGGCAAGGAGTTTTTTTCCTATTGTTTAACTTTACCACTTCTACATACCAAAGTAAAGTTAATCAACTTATCTTTATTGACCTAGTGAGACATTATGGTTTTATATGAAATGCATTTGGATTTTCTGTCCTTGTCATTTTTAGGGCTCGGTATCACAGGTAGATAAACACCACACCTGTGTTTTGGTTTTAGATAGAGCACAGAAGAAGCTACATAGTCCTAGTCCTGAAGTTAAAAATCATTTAGGATTTTCTCTGACATCCTTGAGTAACTGTAACATTACAAGACCTAGAATTTAAATTATACTAGCGTAAGTG